TTTTTTTTTTTTCTAAAAAAAGTGTACGTTAAGTGAAAGCAAATAAACATTCTTTAACAACGGCTTTGATGTTTTGCTTCTGGTCTAATTGTTGGCCTGTATAGTTAGTGCACAAAGGGGACAGAGCAAGTGATCTTTTTTTAGTCGGCATAAGAAGAGGGTAAGTGAGAAAGTATGTGAGTTCACTAACCCTTTTCATCCTGGTTACGCATATATGCGTACTTAATGGTCCTTAATGGTCGTGCTCTTTGTACCACATGTGATTTCATCAATTGAAATGTCACCAGATATTCTTGGTATGCAGATGGTCGAGCTGGGATCGATCTATCCGCACAGGTGGTTTTGGCTATCGACGGCATTCTGACGTAGCAAATTGAAAAATTGGTAAAATTTTGGCTTATGCGCATACACCAAATTATAATATTGTACATTTCGAAATACTATCTTTTTGGTCAAAAGATAGGTTTTTAAGCGAAACTAAGGCCCATTTAGCGTCATGACAGCCAAACAACTAATTTAACGGTTAAAAACGGCCATTTTTATGAAATTTTCAGTTTAAAGGGTTAAACCACCAGTACGTTGAATTCTAGGATTACTTAAGGATTATTTCAATCACCATCTTCTGGACAACTTTGTTAAGCCACTGATAAGCACTTGAAAACGTAAACCGCATTAATCTTCTAAGGCCGTCCAGTCTGTCGGTTCACACACGGTCCGTAAGTTGCATCTTGTGAAGGTTTCAGAGGGGTAAACCAGTCTTGCATTTCATCCGGGGGGGATCTTTGCTGCACTGGACGCAGTGAAACTGTTGATGGTCTGGACCGATCAGGCACGAAAGTGTTTTAGGGGTGAATTATAACAGCTTGACCCACGCCCAGATCGGTCTCCTTCCATTTTTTTCGACGAGCATCCCCGACCCTTGGACGTGAGAGTCTCGCCCTCCCTCTATCCGGCCTGAATAGCGAGGTAAATAGTTTTACAGCCCGTACAGTTCTATCGACCGTCAATATATATTGATTTTGCACACCTCAGGAATCGCAACTTTGCCATATCAGGTAGCAGATTGTATTCACCAAATTTGAAGGACGTAGCGGGGGCTAGAAGAGGCTCAGTTAATTATTAATTTGCCATACATTTGTCTATTTTTTTTTTCCCGCGAACCTCGTCTACCAGCCAAATTTACAGACAAACGTATGGAAAATTAGAAAAATGAACTGGGCGTCTTCTAGCCAAGGTACATGTACATCATTCAAACTTGCTGAATACAATCCTCTACATAATACAGTGAAACCTTCCTCAGTACAAAGAACGATATTCTTCACCCCAGTAATAGTAACAGGGGAGGGGGGGGAGGGGTTGAAAGTGTACGCACAAGAAGAAAATTTGCGATAACTGCAGAAATCCTTGCGCGCTCATTGGCTAATTTTCATTGTTGATAAGCGGACAGACAAATGAATCTATAATTTATGCGATGCGTCAACGAGCGAGAGGGGACAATTTGGCAATTGTTATCGAAAAAGCAAATTAACCTCAGTTTTTAATGCGTCTGTCCTGTTATTGACAATGAATTTCGTCATAGCATTGTCAAAATAGCCTGCGGATCCAATCGGCTATCGCCTCGTAGATCCAAAGCCGGATCCAAAGCTACTTTGACAAATTTATGACGAAATTCATGATCAATAACGGGACAGATGCATGAAAAACTGACGTTAATTTGTTAAATTTTGAGCGCCGAAGGCGCTCTAAACTAGGAGGGTTTGGGCGCAAGTTCCCCCAAGAAATTTTGAAATCTTGACATCAGCTTGTACTCACGCGCGTACGTGCGTGTATGTCTTATATGGACGCTACACCCCTTAGTAAATATATGGAAAAGAGCCTCGATATAACGAAACCCGGTTTTTGGGAACATATTTTGCCAGTTCCCTGCGATTCACAAATTGTTTAAGATTCTATTTTTGAAGAAGTTGTTTGCCATCCGATTCCCATGCAAACACTGTAATTTCTGACCGCTTTGCCTGCCCGGCAAGATGGCGTCAAAAACCGTGATAAGGTCTATCTACTAGCGTTCTATCACGAATGCCGTTCTTTGATTGGCTACGCTACTCACTATCTATTCTGTGATAGATACTGAGTAGCGTAGCAGTGTACCCTTGCTAACCAAATAACGGCCGCTTCTTGGGGTTTTCGAGGTGTCTGTGAAGAGGATTTAGATAAAGTTTTGGACGACGACTAGATTTATTCTAAAACAATTAGATTATTCGCTCTCGATTTCTATGCGTGATAGTTGACTCGGGCTGCACCCTCGTCAACTATCATACGATAGAATCTCGAGCTCATAATCTAATTGCTTAATAGAAGAGATTTATGTGTAATGTTATTTTTTGCGCTGCGTTTTAACTATTATATTTAACCGAACGCTTGGATCTGAAATAGGCTGGCTAGCTGGGGTACCAGATGGGGGCCCTAGAGGGTGTTTCAGTGAGAAGCTTCCTAGGGAAGAAGAGAAGGGAAGGGAGGCTCATAGGCCCCAGTGGAGTTCAGGCATCCCTTAGGAAGTGTAACCCTTAAATTTTACAAGTATTCTCTGAACGCTTCCCCTGTTCCCTCATCCCCGACTCATAACTCATCCCCTTGAAGAGGGGCCTGGTGACGACAGGTGAGTCAGCATCGAAGAGCGCATGACCGTATGAGTTATGCGAGCCTGCGACATCTTCTAAAGAAAATCTAAAAGAAAACAGAATGGTGAGTGAAATTTTCTATCTTTTTCGGTTCTTTTCCGTCGCAAATCATTGCTTATTTTCGTCACTTTTTCCAAAGAGAGTAGTTTAGGATTATCTACCACTTTTTATGACTTCAGGTCATTTTGTTTGCGTAGGAAACTTGCCAGACTTATTACACAGCAGCGTCGCGGTACATCACGTTTATAATTTTCTGTCAAATTTAGCTTATAATTTTGATGAAGGAGAAAACTTTTATCGTCAATTCTCAAAAGAATCTAGTAACCGGGGCAGGGATTAGTTTATATTAATTCCTACGTCTGTGATACGAATCTTGGGTTTTCGATTTCGAGATCAGTTTTTCAGTTAAGGTAAAATATCTTACTTTCGGTTTAAGATCATTCGAACCTGTTGTCAGTTGTCTCGAGGCTAACTTTGCCTACATTACATTTATCTACATTGAAATTAGATAGTCACGCTTTCCAAACCAACCAACTAAGGCACCTTTTCTAATTTTATTGTTACATGAAGTCATTAGCCAGCTTGTTTGTTAGTAATGTCTTTTGTTAATTGGAATTTTTACCCTTAATTGAATGGAAATATGTCAAAATAAAGTTTCCTGGGTTCTCGATTTTCGAGGTTTGTTTTCGAGATAGTACTAGTACTCTTACCTTTTTTTACTGTAAGACCCAGTATAGACCATAATGCCTTTTGCACGTCTGTCGTTGTTTTGGTTAACATGATAGCAAGGTTTCTATTGTTTCCCAATGCTACACAGCACGCAATGCATCCAGGCCAAAACTGAGTCTTTAACTACATGAGTATTATATAATTTACCTTTTGTTGAAACTAGTTTTGATTTGGGAACTTTCACAGGGTCAAAATCAGTCTGGTGGAGGGGGACCTGGAGGAGACAAGAAAGGTGACAAGGTATGGAAATAAAGCATTCTAAACTAACATAAACAGCACTAAGTTCACATTCAAGGACTTTTAAACTTTCAGTGATGTAGTGCTCTTTTGAGAAAACAGCTCTGTAAACAAGGAAGTGACCAATTTTATTGAATCTTAAGTGTAAAATCAGCATTATTACAATAATCCATTATTCATAAACAAAGACTTTTCATTCCAGCCAACATAACATTGACTCTGAGTGCACAACATGTTACCATTTGAATTAGCCTAATTGTTTTTGATTTTGAAGTCAAATTACAGTTAAAGCAATGGACATCATTCTGTTACTTTTAAATTGTATGCTTGAGTCTTAATGTCGACAAAACATATGTCCACAATGTTTATGCTGATTCTATGTCCATGTTATAATAGCTGTATCCAACTTATGTTCATTGTACGTGTCTTATATCAGGATAAGAAGAAGAAGTATGAACCGCCAATTCCTACCAGGGTAGGAAAGAAACAGAAGAAAACCAAAGGACCTGATGCCGCTAACAAACTACCTCAAGGTATTAATGGACATCTGCATAGCTTCCAGGCTGAATCTTTTTAAGGTGTTAACTAACTACAGTGCATGTATGTTCTGTACAATCATGTACGTCAAATCATGTTTCATAAATCAATGGTTACATGTGTTTAGTTTAGGCTCACTTGCGCATTAGTTCTGGCTGGAGAATATGAGTTTATTTACTAGTTGTGTGAGGACCAAACAGACATATCCACATGGTATATATGAAACAGCTACATATACATGCCTAATATTTTCCATCTGCCCCAATATATTGAAAAAAAAATTACGACCGCAATTCTACCTTTATTAAACTTGATTTGCAAGAATGTTGGACTCTTACTGAATGGTCAGAATTGTGTCTGTCAATGAATTGCTAACTTTTATGGACAAAGGTTTCATTAGCGTTTTCAGTAGCAAGGCAATAATATTTTTGGCTGGCTATAACAGGCAGGTAAATCTTTTTGAACTGAACCTCTTTATAAAAAAACTGTGCCTGAAGATGGTCAAAACCAATCAGGCAAAAGTCTCCTCAGAGCCAATCAATTTGCCTGGGGCCCTGCCCTGAAATCCTCTTGTGTGGAGCCAAATTATGGCCTTATGTGTGGACACACATAAAAGGGATTAAAGTAAAAGGAGCTAAATGTTTTTTCCAGACTAGCTTAACCTTTCATTCATGAACCTCTTTAGCCCTTCATGCATCAGCATGTAAGATTGTTCTTATTGCATCAGAATTCAGTGCCCTTTGCAGTCATATATCTGCGTGAGTTGAAACACAATGTTTTTATGCACCAAGAGATACATTTATGGTGCATGATGTAGTCAGCGGGCAGGGTTGCAATGCCTACTATGGCTATTAATAGGTATGATATTGCATGGACTTCAAAATTTGATATTGTGAATCTTTAAGTGAAAATGGGGGCATCATTTAATGCTGAATTATTATTTTCTTGTACAGTAACGCCACACCGAAACTGCAGATTAAAGCTTTTGAAGTTGGAAAGGATAAAAGATTTCCTTTTACTGGAAGAGGAATTTATCCAAAACCAAGAGAGACTTAAACCACAAGAAGAGAAAAATGAGGTACATACATTAAGTAGCCAATCTGTTTATTTTTACAAGCATATATGTAATGTAGCCTATAGGAGTACTCTGTCAGCTCCAAGCTAAGAATTTTCTTCACTGAATCCTGCGTATTTCTTTACAGTAATTTTACTATTTTTTCTGAGAATGTGGCGGTGGATTAGCTTGATCACAACAACCTGCATCTGTGCATGTACATGCACCTCACCGTAGTTGATAATTTCCATTGTTCTTGTCATCAAAAAGATATCATCACAAAATTACAGCTACTAAAAGTTTATTACACACGTACATGTAAGTTAGTGAAGAAGACTCCCCAAGACTTTATTACTAGCAGAGAGAGAAATAAAACACAAGTTGTAAAATACATATATAGCATTTCCATATTCAAGAACAGTACGGTATCTACAATGTAAAGCATGTCTTCTAGTAGCAGTCTTAATTGAAGTACTTTCTTGTAGAGCTTTATGTGGAGTTAACATTTTCATAATATTAAACTTGAAGGAAGAGAGGTCAAAGGTTGATGAGTTACGAGGCACCCCCATGTCTGTGGGAACTCTGGAGGAGATTATTGATGATAACCACGCTATTGTGTCTACATCAGTTGGCTCTGAGCATTATGTCAGCATCTTATCATTTGTCGACAAAGACATGCTTGAACCTGGCTGTACTGTCCTGCTGAATCACAAGGTCTGTGATTTGCTTGAAACAAGTTTGTTTCTATGATCATGTATTTCATGATATAATTATAATGATCTTGATATTATTTTATAGTACATTTCATACATGGTGCAATCTTCAAGCTGATGGTATTCTTGAAATGCAGAATCAAAGAAAAAGAAATTCTTATCTTATATGCAGAGCTCTTTTCAATCAGACTGTTTTTCAGTCATTGATAATGATTAAATTATTAGAATGTCATGTAAATTGAAATTCTTCCTTCAAAAATATACAATAAGTTTATTCCTGAGATCTTCAAAAAAGTATTCACTGACTTTCATAAACATTTTGTCATGTATTCAGGGCTGTTATTAAGGGCTGTAACCTGTAACACCTGCTATGGCTCAGTATGTTTGATGGACCCTCTATGTTACAGGTGAACTGGACTATAATCGATACAATTCACCTAAAAGGTAACAGGTTTGTTATGGGTATGAAGATCAAGGCTACGGTTGACTCAAAACTTAATGACAGCCCTGGTATTCATTTGTTAATCTTAGCAGTTGCTTTGTTGGATTGTTACATGAAATAGCATTATTGTTTTCCCAGGTGCATGCAGTTGTAGGTGTACTGTCTGATGATGCAGATCCCATGGTGACTGTTATGAAACTTGAAAAAGCTCCCCAAGAGTCATATGCAGACATTGGAGGACTGGACCAACAAATACAGGAAATCAAGGTACTGTACCTACTTTGCTGTACGTGCAGCTTATATTTATCACACACTCACTCCAAATTTAATCCCGTGCATATTTGTTCTAAAAGTAAAACAGAGTCTGCTCACTTGATTTATTGAAGGAGAAAGTTGTGGTAGGAAAAATTTATGATCTGATGGTAAATGTTACAACAAAGGTTTTTTTGTTGTAACGTTTACCATCTGATCATAAATTCAGAAAAAAATCAGCATCAAAATATGAAAAGGCAAAGTTAGACTATTAACATGTAGCAGACAGAGAATGCAGTACACTGCTGATGTGACAACTATATAGAGCTTGTTTTGTGTTTTGCTATGTTCAGGGCTTTAAATTGTGGGTCAAGTAGTAACTCTTGTAGTGTTTCATGTGAGTGGCTCGATATTGTTTAAGGGGAATGACAGAACAAACTATAGCAACAACCGCCCTGCACAAATACAATAATAGCTGCTACAGTAATAAAACAATGGCTGCACTTCTGTAAATTACAGGCACCACTTTACATCGACATCTTGTTAAGTGTGCTAACTTAGGTGTTAACTTCTTTCTCCTTTTCCCCTAATGTAAAAGGTGCAAAGAAAACAGAGGTTTTTGAACCACCCAGGGGAATGGCAACTGGTTGGAAAAATCGGTAGTTTTGAAAATTCAAGGGCAAATATCTCCTAATACCTGTATTAGTGCAAAAGGAACAAAACCTTGCTTCAAACAATTGAGAGGTTCGAAAAATCTAGGGTCAAAAAATAGGGATTCCACAGGAGTAAAGCCAGGGCTACAGTATTTCACGTGAAGTCACCAATGTTATTTTTAGTGTTAATTATAATTGTTTGGTTATTAGGAATCTGTAGAGCTTCCATTGACTCACCCAGAGTTGTATGAGGAAATGGGAATAAAACCACCCAAGGGTGTGATATTGTACGGCCCTCCTGGTACAGGTAAGTGTGTTAGTACATTACATGTAGACTACAGAGAATAGCTTTTTGTTTGGAATAGTTTCACATGTTGACAAGATCTAGGATAGAAATGAACTTTCTATATACTTGAAATTGGCAATAGTTAAGAACTAAGAGAACGCTGCTACAGAGTAGTGAATTCCAAAAAAAGTCTGTAAGGAAGTGTGTGTTACATTGTATCTGTTTTAGATAGTGAGTAGCCTAGCAGTATGAGGTTGTAAAAAAAACTGCGGCCACTTTGCAGTGTCTGTGACGAGGATTTAGATAAAGTTTTGAATGACCAGTAGATATATCTAGATCTAACAGCTCTCAATTTCTATGCATGTAAATTGACCCTGGCCATGCATTTGTCACATGACAGCAATCTTGAGTTCGTAATCTAATTGTTAAACAGAAACACTTTGGAAGGATGTGTACAGTTTCTGTTATGATTGTAATTTGTGTTTTCATTCATTGTTACTTTCTAGGAAAGACGTTGTTAGCTAAAGCTGTCGCCAATCAAACAGCAGCGACATTTCTTCGAGTTGTGGGATCTGAGTTGATACAGAAGTACCTGGTAAGAGAAAAAACGACTGGAATACAGTCAATACTACAGTTTCAATGATAAATTATTCCTTGGTGTTCATCTTTTAGGGGGATGGTCCTAAACTAGTGAGAGAAATGTTTAGAGTAGCTGAAGAACATGCACCATCCATTGTCTTCATAGATGAGATTGATGCTGTAGGAACCAAACGGTACGTAAGGAAAATGTTCTGCATGCCCAAATGAGACTAGTCTAGTTTAACACTGGGGGAAGGTACAGTGCTATCGGTTGGTGTTCTGGACTTTTGATTATGTGCTTTAGTTCAATGGTATTGCAAGAACCATTTTCAGAACAATATTCAGACTGGACTGCTGTGCTTATGAGACATTTCAAATCCGATGCAAAGTACCTTACTGAATAACACCTTTAGCTACAAGAATACCGACGAATGCCTAGCATTGGTACTTCCAGTGCACTCGCGAGAAACGAGACGCGTCTCGCGAGACGGTGGTAACTTACTTTGAGCGGTACTGTATTTGAACCCCACTAATTCGAACTGGGTTATTTTGAATTCCCCATTATTTCAAATTCAAAGCCATTTCCCTGGGATTTGCCTTTCGGTCATTTACATGTACTTGTTCGGAATCCCGCTATTTCAAACTGTTTTTCTTTTCCCCCGAGAGTTCGAAATAGCAGAATTCAACTACTGTATTTTCTTTGATTACCTCACTAATTCTTGCAGGTATGAGTCGAACTCAGGTGGTGAGAGAGAAATTCAACGCACAATGTTGGAGCTTCTCAATCAGCTGGATGGCTTTGACTCCAAGGGAGATGTCAAGGTAACCTTTAATGCACTACTTGAGTACACTATAAGGGAAAATTCTGATAGAAAACTGTGATTCAACCCAGCATAACACCAGGTTTTGCGGCTTTATTGATTAAAGCTTTAAAATTTAAAAAAATTATTCATATATAGAAGAAGTTGCTGGATGATGGTAAGCTAAAAATTAAAAATCATGCCAGATTGACGAAATTTGAAATTTGACAGACTACCATAAAAATCTTCCACATAAAACATCAATGTTGTCAAAATTGCCAATCTACTCACGTCTTTTTCATTTTGGGTATCCATTTCATTTGAGGGTCATACTTTTTTTGATTGACACTTTTGTTTGTTTTGAGAACTTAGTGGTTGATCAGACTGGTGGTTGATGTTATGTTAGGTCCATGTAGATAATTTTTTTTAAATGTAATTAATGTTTTTTTTCATGATTTGTTCAATTAGCAATAGGATTCTGTAGCACAGTTGTGAATCCAGCTACATGTAGTAAGCTAACATATTTGTTTCTTTTAAGGTTGTCATGGCTACCAACAGAATAGAAACTTTGGATCCTGCACTTATCAGACCAGGTACCGTGACTTAAATGTGGATAAATGAAATTATGTATTAATAACAACGCAATGGACTAGCATTCCATCCAGGGGGGAGTAGAAATACTCCTAGTCGCTCCATGCTGCAGAAATCGGAGATAGCACCGGCCTGATTGACCACTTCGCTCGTATGCAGACTTTACTATTAATAACGAAGAGAAGCAAGTATCTCGCAGTTTCCTGGCATGTAGTTTGTACAACCCTCCTGCTCTTTTCTCTTGTTTGTTACAATGTCCTTGGTGTGTGTGTTTTGATAGTTACCCATTGTTTGAACTCTACAGGTCGTATTGATCGCAAGATTGAATTCCCTCTTCCCGATGAAAAAACAAAACGTCGTATTTTCACAATACACACCAGCCGGATGACACTATCTGAAGATGTGAATCTGGAAGAGTATGTCATGGCAAAAGATGATCTTTCTGGAGCTGATATCAAGGTACATGTATGGCATTATTGTGTGTTTTTTAAAAAGTGTACTGATGTACCTGGGTTTGCCTGAAGGAAAATGTAGCTAGTAGATTGTATGTCCAATCGTTCCTTTTTGGTAGAATGCAGTCGATTACCCCTAGCCGGTTAGAACCTCTAAGATAGAACTTTCAAGCTTTACCGGACATCATCGAGAGAGGGAATTGTGGTTTCCTTCCTAATCAAGTTTGTCCCCACCATTCACTGTCGTATTCACGCTTAAAGAACGAGAAACTTCTGGTTACAGGCTAACTGGCTAGAGACTAAACGACCGGCTATCTTTTGGCACGCTTCGGCGGCATATCGCGCAAATTTTTGTCGAGGTTAGGCCAAACGAGGCTGATGTGCCGCCAAAGCATACCAGAAAGGTACTATTAGCTATTTACCTTTCTTCAATTCGGTCAAATATCCCGAGATGACGGGAGACAGGCCTCTCTTTGGCTAAATGAGAATTTGGCCTCGGCTACTCCTCGAATAAGCGCTCCTCGTCAAAAATACAGTAACCCCAATCCATTTGTTTTTTTGTTTTTTTAATCTTCATTGGTTATTTTTCAGTTGTTATTGTTGTTGTTGTTGTTTTGCAACCCTGTAATAAAGAAAACTGGGAAATAATCCTCCCCGCTTTGGCTTCGACAGAACGATAATCCCCCGGGGCGCCTGTTCGATGGAATACGGTGATCCTTATTCAGATAACGCACGCATCACCAAATTCTTTCCGCCTTCTCCCGGGAAGAAAAAAAAGACTCTGTGGCTGTTTCGTTTGCCTGTGAGTGATAAAACGGCCAGTTTTGTCTTACAAACCCTACTTGACTTGCAAAATTTCTCCTTCACACAGGCTATTTGTACAGAGGCAGGTCTAATGGCTCTGAGAGAGAGGAGAATGAAGGTGACTAACGAGGACTTCAGGAAGTCCAAAGAAAACGTGTTATACAGAAAGAACGAAGGCACGCCCGAGGGACTTTACCTTTGAGACCCAAATTCTTTTTTGTAATACTTGTTAGTCAGTTCTGTCATGTATAAAAATGAAGTCAAATAAAATTTGTTTTTGGTCAACGGTGTTTTTTTTTATGTTGTGAAATTTCCTCAAGTGAAGCAAAGTTACTTTCTTTAGATTCTTGGGATACGAATTAGACAATCTAACAGTCGAACTCGACTGGAAAACAATCAAATTTACATTTTTTTT